CTAGGTAATTCCTTGAGTTTTCAGCGAGCTGAATCATTTTAAAGTTGATTAATTTTTAATAAATATATTAGCAGTAGCTAACGTTAAATTGATATCGATATGTTATATGGAGATTTTCATTCATGTAACATGAAAATCTGTAATATATATCAAATTTCATAGTTTGCTCACATAGTTTTGATTTATTTAGTTGAGTTACCACCCTAGTACGTACGTACGTACGTACTTAATTACAGGTATTTAGTAAAGTAGTACTGTACAGCAGTACAAACTCGGACGGGCATACGAAAATTATACCAAATTTTGATCATACATACGGTTAATATAGACTTGCATGTTTCAATTTTTATAAATAACCCTTGTTGATGGTTAGGGTTAGGGTGAACGCAGTATTGTCCTTTTTTCATGTTAGGATTTATAGGAAAAGTAATTTGGGCTTTGCGAATTTTTTCTTTTACAAACCGTACGCACTATCATAATTTCTACGCGTCCGTCCTAATTTACGTTTCCATACCGTACTACTTTACTATATATCCCTTAATTACAGGATAGCCTATTATAATGTTACACGAGGAAAAACCGTACGTACGTACGTACGTAACTTTGTTACATTATTTTGCGTAACGCCAATCTCTGATGTGAAATCACTAAATCGGCAGATTTCTTCGATAAGTTTAAAGATTTTGAATAAATATGTATAAATGTTACTGATTGAAAAATTATTGATAGACAAATCGCCATAATTACTGCAAAAAAGTTAGCGTTAGCATAAATATTTATCTTTACGCATTCAAAGTAATACAAACGTACAGTATTTTTTTCATAATTGTTCTACTTATATAGTAGGACCCAGAGCAATTCGGAAATAGGTCATAGGATGCCAAAAAAAGAAAATTTTAGAAGAAATTCAATGAACATTGCATTTTTAAATAATAAATTTTTTCAATTCTTTGTCAAAAATAGGCATTTTCGGAGCAAAGTTTGCATGAAAATAAACAAACTTTGATCTAATTTATCAATGTATAGCTTGGGGTCCTGTTACACTCTACCTTTATATTTTTTAAATCATTTAGTAGGAAAGTTGTCAACTAGTTGATTTTACCTGACGATTTGGATCATTCATTAACTTTGCCCTATTTTCCACTATATGATACATTGATATAGTTTCAAAATATGTCTGAACAAAAGCCAATAATTCTACTGTGTAAGTAATAATTTGCAAGTATTTTTTTTTGGGAACGCCTATTTCCACCATGGAAATTTGCTATTTCCACCATGCTTTTTACATGACTTCCAGCTACATAAACATGAAGAATATGTTGTCATGAAAAATTACGTAAATGGTGAAAATAGTAAATTTTCATGGTGGAAATAGGCGTTCCCTTTTTTTTTTAGAGTAAATAAGAATAAAAAATATCAATAAATGAATAAAATTAAAAATAAAAATCAACTTTAATTATCCACGTCTCATGTTTTTGATGAATTTTGAATAAGTATGAATTTCATACTTTATTATCACTCGGATAATGGCAATTCACTAAGATGCGGGTTGTTGTTTTTTTTAATGAGTTCTATTCTAGTTTTTCTAAAAAAAAGCTCTTATTTTATTATTATTATTATTAAGCCCATCCCAGATCTGTTTCCCACGCATTTCAGCGACCATTCCTTCAACGTTCTCAAGAATTTCATATTATTTCCGAACCATTAGTTGATTTTATACTTGATCAACGTGTAAAAGATGCTAAATATAGTAATGCAGATCCTCTTAAGCTTTCAAATCTTGGTTTATTCGTGCCAAAAGTTGTATCTATCTTTGATGAAGTTTGGAAAGCCCATTATGATGAATCCTCGAATAAATCAAAACGAGTACTTTATCATGAACATTCGCTTATTCTTCTAAGTGTCACATCAGAGACTTCCTTTTTAACAAATCCTCAATTTTTGGAGATGACACACACGTTCTTAATCCGTAATCCTGAAAAATCAGTAAGATCTTTTTATAAAGCTGCTACCTTCATAATTAAGCAAGACTTCGATAAAAGTCAAATAGGATTAAGAGAATCCAAACAAATTTTTAATTCATTAAAAGACATAAATAAACAACTTATTGTTGTGGATGCTGATGATTTGGTTAACGATCCAGAAAGAGTTTTGAAGAAATATTGTGAGTTAATTGGAGAGGAATATAAAGAAGAAATGATTCATTGGGAGGCAAAAGCTGTTAATGAGTGGAACGGAAAGAGCACCAAAGATGGAAATCTTATGGCCTAGTAAATATATTTTATTTGAAAAATATACCAATTTTATTTAATTACTAACATAATTAAATCCTAAATCCTCGCTAGTAATGCGGAAAATAGCACAGGCTTTAATAAGTTTACTAATAAATATGATCCTGAAATTGAATATCCCCAAATTGTCTATGATACTATCGCTGAAAACAAACCATATTATGATTATTTATATCAGTTCAGGATTTAATTGACATGTAACTAGTACATGATCATGTGGCGGCTTCGCCGCCAACTAATAATTAGATATAACAGTATATGGTATTAACAGGCATTGACAATTTGATAATATATGATTAATTGAAATCAAAAAATATATATTAAGGTGGTATTATTTTATTTGTTTTTCATACTTCTTGGCTTTGCTTGAGTTTTACATTTTTTATGGGTTGGCCTCGCTTCGCTCAGCTGGGTTCTAAATTAATTACTCGACCTATAAAATAGTACCATAGTTAACTGTAAAAACTATAATTAAGTATAGTCAACTATTAAAACCATACGAATAAATTATTGAGTCTACTCAAACTATTAAATATTGATTTTTTATTTTTTTTTAAAGTGAGGCCTGGCCTCGGTCTTTATTGAATAACTTATTTTTTTTACATTTGTAGAATGAAATACATGAATCACTACAGAGACCTACAGCTAGGACTACTTTATCCTCGGCCTAAAACTCTACTAGAGTAGGCTAACAGACCTCATCTAGATTTATAGTAGCAATGTAAGATGTAGATATGTTAGTGGTAGAGAAAATAGTTGCCCATCTGTTGAATTTTGCTATACTATGTTGTAGTGTAGGTGGGTGTTCTGGGGGTGGTATGGTAAGTGGGTTAGTTGTTGTCTCCTGCTGATGTATTGCAATACATCATGCTTGTCAGATTGTTTTGTATATATTTTTAGAAATTTTGTGCAATAGTTGTATATAGTGGGTCTTGGATAAGGTAGTAAGCACCTGAATATTAGATGAAGCAAAACCTTGTATTGCAGTTATAGAAAGGTTATTGTTGGGGGCTGTAAAGAACCTCTGTAAAATTGTGGAGGCTGCTTGTTGGTGTATCTTTTGCTTATTTAGGAATTTAGTAATAGTTTCATGAATTAACTGATATATAGTAGTCTGGTTTTTATTACATATAGGCCAATGGGTATTATTTTCAATATCCACATTGCACCTCTTGCATGTTGGATTAATATAGATTTTGGGATTCTGGAAGTGTAAATTTAGGAGTGTAGGTAGTTCATTAAGAAGAAACTTAATTTTAAAGTTTTTAATTTTTGATAGTTTAGGGTGTGTAAACCAAGTATGTGGCTTATTATTATAGTTTATGAAGTTGTGTAGTAGTTCCCAGTCTGTGTTTTGTCGTATCTGGTTTCATGTTTGAGCTCTATTGAGGGAGTGCCATTTGGCTATATTGTTTGCATTTTGTATGTGTCTGATAAATCTGCGGGTTTTATGTTCGATGATTGTGCCATTCTAGCTTATGAAAAAGTTATTGTGGTCAAGTGCATATGGAATAGTTCAATTTTATTGTGTTGTATTGATGTTGCATTTTGCATTGTGCGTTGAAATAATGGAGGTTTTGACTTAGCTTCAATTAGAGTAAATTTAATTGTAATATTTTTTTCTATGCAATAATAGTGTGTATGAGTTGTTTGAGTGGCCAAAAGTTTTGTTTTTGTATTCTTAAGTTGAAGTTAGTGTGGTTTGTAGAACTGAGTTTATCATATTAATTGTTAGAGATTGTGAAGTTAGAATTGTGATTTGACAATCTGGTGGTGCTATAGCTAGTATAAAAATTATGCCAACAAGATATGCACTGGTTTTGGATAGCCAGAAGGTGATATTTGCTGCAAATGATATGTTAGTTGGAGTAGGCAAATGATGCAGATAAGCATGAAGAATTTGTATTGGTGTGTATAGCATATATATAAAAGCAAAGTTTTGAGGCTTGTGAATTTATTTATACAAGATGATCTAGATGAGATTGGGTAGGTCTTTGTTTGAATACTTGATTAGAAGTAACAGTAATGCATGCAGACCTCTGTAGAATAGTAGGCCTAGTATTGTAATAGTTTGTTTTTGTATTCATGTTATTGAAAAGAGGGTGGTTAGAAATTAAATCAGAGATGTTAGTATGTAAGTATTTTGAGCATGTAGCTTGAATTATTATGCAGTGTTGTATAGGAATAATAATAGTGCATTGTTTATGTGTATTTATAGCTGTTGTTAATATACAAGAAGTACAATGAGTAAGTGGTGATATGTTAGTATCCAAGGCTGGAGGTAGTCAATGTGTGATCTGTATGTTGTTTTTTGGTAGTTTGGTTTTAAAAATCTTCTCTATTATTGGTGTATTTTGAAATTTTCCAAGTATTCAGCTTGTGCGTATTGGTATAATCTTATTTGTGATAAATGGATTAGGACTCATAGTTGGGATGTGTGTTGTAGTAGGTTTTAATAGTGTGTTATGGAGCTCTAGAAACCACTTTGATAACTATTTTGATATTGTTTTTTAAGTTTTGTAAGCTAGCTGATGCCAGGTAAGTAGTTCTATATTTGTATGATTAGTGAGTTGTTCAATTGCATAGATGTTTGCGTGATTTGTGAAGGTTTTGATATGGTTAGGATTCTTGCAGTACTTAATTAATTAATTAATTGTTGTATCAGGATGCTTAGTGGGTATAGGCCAAGGATTAGGTAAGTTCAAAATTACTATATTGAGTTGGTGTGCTGTACAGATTGTTTGTACTGTAAGTGTACTATCATATTTGGTAGGTAGAATAAATTGTGAAGATTGTAGTATGCTGGTTGGTGCCATAGAGGCATTTTGTAGATACTGCAAATATATTTTAATAGGTAATCTGGTGAGTAGATTATTGATTTGAGTATGCAGTGCAGATATATAGTTTTGAACTTGAATATCATTAAG